TTAATATCTAAGCATTTTGTTTCTTCCTCTATTTTCTACCTTTTAAAATGTCATTTTACATAGACTAGGAACTAAACTGGTAAAGTTGGTCGTCCTTGTTTTTTATCAAAGGGAGAAGCCATTCAGTCTTTCATTACCTAAGAATTATATTGATTTTATTATTGCTCATTATCAGTTTGAGAAAATTACCTTCTACTCCTATATTGCCAACAATTTTTTATTATTTATTGCTTAATGTTGTATTACACTGATTGATTATTGATTGACTGTTTTTTACTTTTTCTTTTTTTTTTTTTTTCTGTTAAGAGAGATTTTTCCTATAAAGGCACATGCATGCACTGGAGAGACAGAAAGAGACAGAAAGCAAGAAATCACCCCCCACCAGAAGGAATGTCCATGCTGTAGTCCCTTCTCCTCCTCCATTCTCAGGTTTTTGGGCACACATGCTCACGTGTCCAGTGTCAGTTTTAAGCTGCCAGGTTCAGGATTCAAACTGTGGCCAACTATGTGGGAGTCCAGCAATGTAACCGTTACGCCATCTGCTGATCCCAGACTTTCAAATAAATACTAAACTAATGCTGCATTCCCAGGATAAGCCCCATTTGGTTATAGCATTTTATATTTTTATTTTATTACATTTGTTTTGCTAAAATTTTATAAAGAATTTTTCATCTTGTTCATGAGGGATGTCAAGCTCTAGCTTTCTTATCTTGCAATATCTTCAACTGCTGAATACTTTTGATATCAAGGTGATGCCGGCCTCAAACTGAGTCAAGTTTCTTTTCTATTTTTCTGAAAGAATGTTTGTAGATGTGGCACGATTACTTCCATAAATTTGATAGACTTCACCAGAGAAATCACCTGGGCCAGGAATTTTCATTATGAGAAGGGTTTTAACTATAGGTTCAATTTTTTAAAGAGCTATAGAGTTTGGTAGAGTATCTAGTTTTCTTTAAGTGAATCAAGTGAAATTATAATTTATAAAAACTATTTTAAAGACACATGGATTTTTATAAACCAGGAATAGTCTACCTGAATTGTTGCATAAATATCATCTTTTAGAAAAGCAAGGGACCAGCAGTTGGCATAATGGCTATGCTGCTGGACTTCCATGTAGTAGACTGCAGTTTGAGTCCCAGACCTGGTGGTTTAAACTCACGCCGGGCACGTGTGTGTGCATGCCCAAGATCCCAAGAGGAGAATGGAGGAGAAGGGATTGCGATGTGGTCATCCCCCATAGAGGGTGATTTCTTGCTTTCTGTCTCTCTCTTTCTAATGAGCACATACGCCCTATAGCAAAAACCTCAAAAAAAAAAAAAAAGAATAAAAGAAAAGAAAAGTAAGCAAAGCAGGTCAAAGTAGGGTGGATTCCATTTTTACAGTCCACCTATTCACTAAAAGTTGTTTGTGATTCCAAAATCAATACTTGTGACATTTTTTTCAGTCATCCACAGATGTGCACAGAGCTGCAAAAAATATGAGTCACTCTCAGTTGAGGTTAGCAAGGCCATGCCCTCCCTTCTGTTCCACTTTCCTGTGGAATTGACTAGAAAGAAGGTGGAGGTGATGCACAGGTAGTGCAATGTGGGAAGTTCCTGTTCTGGGACAGTTAGCAGGGTTTGACTTCCTTAGTGGGTAAGCTTCAGGCAAGTCACAGTACAACTGAATCTTACTTCTCTTTGGTAAAATACTGAAAATAGAATGTACTTGGATTAGTTGTTACGGGATTTCCAGTTGTAATCTATGTGAGGCACATGAGGGTACATCTGTAGCTACCTAGCTATAATGTATTTTCTCTAGGGCAGTAGTCCAGTATTCACTGTTGCATTGTTCTTGGTGACTTTATAGAACTTAACTACCATAATGATAAGAATCAACTGTATTTATATTTATCACTGATACTATAAGAGGGGACTTTAAAATGTTTATGGAAAAGGTAGAATTAAAGAACAAGTTTGTGGAGCCAGAAGATGATGTAATGGTTATATCTCTGGACTCTCACATGTCCAACCATGGTTTGTGTTCCAGACCCAATGGTTTGAAACTCATCCTGGGCGTGTGTACTTGTATGCCCAAGATCTCAGGAGAAAAATGGAGGAGAAGGGAATGTGGCATGGCCATCCCCTTTGGGGGGTGATTTCTTACTTTCCCCTCCCTATTTATGTCTTTTTCTTTCTCTGGTGAACACATAAGCCCTAAGGAAAAAAAAAAAATAAAAACCTCTTAAAAACTAAATAAATAAACCAGAGCAAGTTTATGGGCCAGCAGATGGTATGGTGGTTAAGGCTATAGATCTCATCTGGCTGACTGAATGGTTAGAGTCCCAGATCCATTGACTTGAAAAACATACCAGGTATGTGTGTATGCTTTCCCAAAATCCCAAGAGGAGGAGCAATTGTATGGTAGCCATCCTCTCTGTGGGGTGATTTCTCACTTTCTCTCTCTCTCTCTCTCTCTCTCT